GCACAATCTGTTAGAGCCAGTGGTGGTAGCGATGGAAATGTGTTGTGTATCTCATAAATCAATAATAAGGGTTGGTTTGCGTAACGCATGGCATCTCTTATACCGTTGCCAACAAATTGTGCGCTAAGTTTCAAACTTATTATGTAATGCTTTATGTGCTAAACAATTGTTGTATATTTATAGTTATAATAATGTATAACATTTTAAAATTGTTATAAACACAATACATTAATTAAAATGATATTTCTGTTAAGTTTGTAATAAACGATACAAACTATTCTGTTATGAAAATTAAATCTATATAACATTAGATTACATTTTAAAAATAATTTTAAAATAAAATCTTTTGGTATTTATATGGATATATGCAAAAATTTATATAAATAGTAAAACTAATTAATAATTAACATTCATAATTTAAAGGAAGTTTTTGATATATAAATTGAATTAATTATCTGTTTCTAAAAGTTGCAAATAAGGAAAGAAATGTCATGTATTTGACAAAAAAATATAACTTTTATAATATTTTAATTAATAAATTTATAATTTAAATAATGCATATCTTTTATTACAAATTAATTTACCTATCATTTTATTTATGGTATTATTACTAAAACCCAAACATAAGATACAATGTACCAATGCATTGTTTTACCAATATAATTTTTATACATGTAACCAAAAGTAAATTTCAGTCAATACAATTGCTATGGATTTTTCCCAAAATAATATTTTAATATAAAATCCTATCAAAATTTTTTTCAAGATTTATTTCAAATACAGACTAATTGTATTATTATTATACAATATTTCCTTAAAGTAAAACTTATTTTTGTAATATTGCAAACATTTGAGTGCAGTTTCAGTAATACACTAGTTATACAATTTTAAATGAAATTACAGTTTAGTTTATTAAAAATGTATACAAAACTAACTTTACATGTATTATTTGTTTGAATTAAGTTTTACTATTAAATCATTGATAATATTGTGAATTGATTTGATTAATATAAAACTAACCATGGCTTATTATAATCTTAACTATGAAATGGATTTTATATTATTAGTCGCTTTAATTGTTATAATTGCTATATTCTTAACATTAACATACTTTTCATTGACTGTACCGAAGCTCATCGCATACGGCTTTAGCGGCCTTAAAAATTTACCCCGGGATGCCAGGTTAGAATAATCTGTTCATGGTACATTTCTATTTAATTTAACAAAGTATTATTAATTATAAGTGAATGTTTAATACTGTCACAATTGACCAAGATAAAACTCATCATAAACTTTATACATTTACAGGTCTTTCTACTACTATATTATAGTGAAGTATAATCTGTTTAAATGGAAACGTAACGACCAATCGGTGGACGAACTCTTTGTGCAAACTGTGGCCAAATATCCGCACAAAATAGCCATTTATTACAAGAATGAAAAGTGGAGTTTCGCTCATTTGAATGACTTTTCCAATCAAACGGCTAATTGTTTCAGTGGTTTAGGCTTTAAAAGCAAAGACGAGGTCTGTTTAATGATGAACAATAGGCCCGAGTATATGGGTCTATGGCTTGGTTTGACCAAAATCGGTGTCATTCCAGCGCTCATTAACACTAGTAATCGGACAGACTTTTTGCTTCACGCCATTAAAGTCATTGACTGTAAAGCAGTTATATTTGAAAATGTCTTTTATGAAAGTAAAACTTTAACAAATATATCAAACAGTTTGAAAATGCATTAATAAATATCTATTTGTCATCATTTGTAGGAATTGCCGAAATAATGCCAGAATTAACGCTATTTAATCCAAATATAAGATACTATTGTTATGGAGATATAATGGAGGACACAGTCGCCCACAATATCATCAATTGTGAACCAATTCACCAAATGATAGCATCGGTTGAATCATCCAAAGGGTGTTTAACAACAAATAAATGTCATTTCGATTCAATACTCTTTTATTTATACACATCGGGAACGACGGGCTTCTCAAAGGCCGCAATCTTCCGACACTACCGGTACCTAACACTGGGACTAGTGATCGGCACCTCATTACAGCTCAAGACTAGTGACATCATATACCTCTCCCTTCCTCTATATCACGCCAACTCTTGTGTCAGCACTTGTTTGGGTCTAATCCACGGCATGAGTGTTGTCCTCAAAGACAAATTCTCGGCCACAGACTACTGGAGTGATTGCATTAAATACAAATGCACGGTAAGTATAGACCATTACATACATGCATTTGATAATAAAGTATTAGATTTTAATTTTGAGTCATTAAAATAATACATAAATGTATTTTATAAATGACTATTTTAATGGATAAAAATTTTTATAAATTGAAAATTTAATGGTTTAAAAATCAATTACATTATAACATTCATCCGCACCGATAGGTATCCAACTATATCGGAGAGTTGTGTCGATACCTATTGGCCCAACCGATCAGGGATTGCAATAAAAGCCATACAATTAGAGTGATGTTTGGCAATGGTTTGCGGCCTAAGATATGGCACGACTTTCAGCAACGGTTTAACATTAAACTCATCGCAGAGTTTTACGCCTCGACTGAAGGAAATTCAAATCTCAGTAAATT